TATGAGAGAACATTGGATCTTTCAACAAGATAATGACCCAAAGTATCAGGCAACAAAAATGAAAGCATTCATTCATCATCAGGTTTTAAAGCTTCTTGAATGGCCATTCTATAGTCCTGATCTTACTTAATCCAATAGAAAATCTCTGGGCAATTATCAAGAAAAGGGTGGAGAAACAAGTTAATAAAATAGTTTGAAAAGAAAAATCTGTCATTGGCATGAATTAATTAGGAAGGAATGGGAGGATATTTCCATGAACTTGTATCTTAACCTGGTAAAGGGAATGTCAGATCATGTAAATGAGGTAATTGAAAATGATGGAAAAAAATAAACTATTAATGTATATACATTTTTTGAACATCTATGTTTGACCTACGTTTCTGTAAAACCAGAAGTCAACGAATAAAATCTGCGGAATTTATGGCCATAATAACGATTCTCGTTACTTATGATGATTACTGTATATTAAAATGATAAAAATAGAATGTTTTTATAAAAAATGGTTAATATATTGAGAGAGAGATATATACTAATTTAATAATTTTAAAATCTAATTTTTATAAAAGAATTATACTATAAAAAGTTTGATTATATAAAGAAATAAAGAAATAATAATAATATAAAAATATGTTTAGTCCTTTTCTTATTATTCAGATCATTATATACTTTAAGCAATTTGAAGAATAATAGTGAAAATAAGGCAAATCTTTATTAAAGCAATGTTTTTCTAAATGTACATTTTCTCCAAATACACTTGGTCTTATTAATACATGTATTATAGAGAATCTCTAATCCAATCGATTCAACCTTATAAGATGCATTTAAAAAATTTCTCTGCATACATGTATATAATTTGCTTGACGTTCTCCTATTTAATAAAATAATTATTTCATTCTTGACATTTTTTTTACGCTCTTAATAAAAAACAATTTAGTATTTAAATAAAGTTCTTATTATACTTTTAAATTTTACTTATGATCTTTTTTGTGTGTTGTCACGTGTTTCGTATATTTTAGGCGGATGAGTTTTTCTAGAACTCTGACGTCTAATGAGCTATCTAGAGAATTTTTAAAGGTTAAAGAAATAACCAAATCTAAATTTTTTACAAACGCGCTGGCGAAAATCACTTGTCTATTATTCTTCCTCATTTTTATTTTCGTGTTCTATACTGATAAATACACATGTTGTATTTTTTGTTGAAGAACTGCCGTTTCTGAATCGTTGAACTTTGGTATACCGTCATCGTCTGCTTTGCGTCCATCTGTGTGGCAATGAAGTACATCTATGTTATATGCGTAAGCAAGCGCGTTTCCTATGCCACCCATATTTATTCCAATCGCCGCAACAATCATTGTCCAAAAATCGGTTATCTCCATATAGAATGTTATTGTATATATATTTACAGGCAGCTAACAACAAATGAATACAAATTAGTAAATAAAACGGTCGTGATCTAATAATCAGTGATATAAATAAACAAGAATGGGAAAAATTATTTACCCACTGTAAAAGAAAAACGAGCACATGAAGCGCAATCTTTTTTGCGACTCTGTTCTCAATACTTTTTGAATTATGCGTCGATGAACTTGATTCATATCGGCTTTTTCTTAATTTCAGCAGAATCTTGATATAACTAACTGCTGTGATTAAAAGATTTGCAACTGCTAGTAGAAGAAAGTATAAACTGGCAAACTGATTTCCAGGTTTTAATCCGCACCTAGTTTGCAAATTTTCTCAATATAATCAAAGTTACAGACTTAAAGATTTGACTTAGGCATGCGTCTTACCATGATTCTTGGGCTCCATATGCATCGATTTTTATGGGTGGTATTGTAGCCAGCATCGTCAAAATGAACATTAACGTAAATAGTTTCCAATCATATCTTCCTAAATCAATTTTTGAATCTTTGCTGACTATTTTTTGTTAGAAGAAAATTATTAAAATGATTTTTTTAATCTCAGGATTTACGAAATCAATAAATGATTAATTATACTTTTTAGATAAATTGAAACCGCTACAATAGTAAATAAAAACTGATTTAGACATTGCGCTTCTTCAACGGCAAACCCAAGAAATTGGCAAAATGGATACGACCATGGACTTCGATAGATAACAGAATGAATCTACAAAACGTTACGTAATTGGTTTAAATTAGAGTTGAATCAACGAAGAAGTTAGTGCTTATAAATTTATACGTATAATGTATTCACCAAATTTAAAAATTGAGTTATCATAAGGTTTAAGTCTAAAAGAATAACGATATAATTAGTAATATGTGTAAAGGGAAAAATGTAACAAAACATTTATTTACCCGTGAGTGCAATGTAAAATGGAAGCCTATAATACATTTTTAAACTAGAAGATGACCGTGTCTTCCATTGTATATACGTGTGAAAAAATATAAATATGACTCCAATGAAATTTAATAATAGACCAAACAAACCAATTGACATTAAAATGTTAAATTTTGGTCTCAAATATTTTTCATCTTCATCTTTATCTTCAGTATCGTATGTGCTCGAGTCTTCGATTGCATTGACTGTTAATGATAACAGCAAAAAAAAAAGAAATTTAAATGCTAATAGTTGGCTTAAAGACATACTTTATCAAAGAATATTGTAACCAGCGATGTTTAATTATATAGATTTCAAATAAAAGTGTCAAACTTAATACATCTATGAAGAATTATTTTCCCGCAGTTTCACGATTTCATAATACACTCCTCAGAATGAAGAAATTAATATTTGTGATAATGTAAACCAATGACTCTCATGCACATGGACACAGACCTTACCCACGAAAAAAATCAGATTCGCGTCTCATTTTTCAAAAAGGGAGAATATGATTAAAATGGTAAATACCGATACATGTATATATGGCCATGATCGAAATTACATAGTATTATGACAAGTGTATATAGTTATGATCGACTGTCACTATTATACATGTATGTAATGAGTCGATGAGATTTTTAATGTTCGAGAATTACATGTACATGTTATGGGTGTATCTCTTAAATTTTGGTTAGGTTAATTTGTACATGTGGTAAAGATCGGTTTTTACTCTGCTTTTAAACCGTTCCCTAATCTGAAAACATTATTACGGAAAAAATTTTTTGTGACATTTGTGATATTAAAATTAACCTAACCAGAATGGGTTAGAGTTAATAAAAATTAAGTGCTCGTGTGAAATGCAGGCAACGATGTAATTTAGAACTTAACCACAGTAATTTAATCCTTACATAGATGTAAACTAAACTTAAATATTCTTTACGACATTCATCTTTGAATTTTTTCTCCATACCATTTTAAATTAAACAAATATTTTGCTTAGTTTGAGAAGTCGAGAATTTTCGGCAAAAGTCTAATGAATAATTCCTGTTGTGTAAAGAACATTATTTTGTTGAAATTTTTAGTTCCAGCAAGGAAATTAATATAAATCGACATTAAGTGTTTCATAGCATTTAATATTTTTGTAAAGAAATAAAATCCAATTGCTCATATGTGAATCTCATGAATGTTTGACATCGAACTTTATAACATATAGATTGGTTTTTTCTATCGACTGTGGAAATGTTGATGTCCAATTTCCTATGTAGTCCATCATGTGATCAAATACCCTTAAATTTCCAGCGCACCTATTAATGATTTAATGATTCATAAGGTCAGGGTAAGGGTAATGGTTAAGGTTCGACATTTTTAATTAGTACTCAAGCCAGATTTGGACGTTGGTTTTCTTGTGATATATTTTTGTTGATCAAAAATTTGCGCATTCCTATTGGGCATGGATCACATGATGGACTATGCTTTAACTACTCCCATTTTTCGGTAATTATTCGAACCGACATCTTCGAATAATTATCTGTTAACCACATTTTACCAAATCACAATGATTAACCATTTTTTAATCTAATGTACAATCTTTAAATCTTACTATAGCCTCATAAGTTGATAAGCCCAAAACAAAAATAAGGAATATTTGATTGAACTTTTTAATATAATGATTATTTACAAGAATTTTCTCTTAAAGATTGTCAGATTTATCTTTATAAACTAAAATAATTGGAGTAGACTGATAGGCTTTCTGATTCATTATGTGTACTATACGCATAATGCATGCTATAGTTTGTAACAAGTATTCGTTTGCAAATCTAATGCTTTCAACCAGTCGTTCGCTAATAATTTATAAATTTATAACATGCCTTCTTTCTGCATCAATGCTAATTTGAATGCAATTTGATATGATACTCCTAAGAACTACCTTTTCAAAAATGTATCTTTTTTTCTCTTTCACTAGTACAATGAAATCTTTTACATATGTTCAACTTTTGTTATATCATTATATTTAGCTCTCCTTTTCATGCGTTCCATTTGAAAAATAACCATATATTATGTATAAAATCGAGATCTGAAACCATAAGCAAAATGCATATTGGATACTGCGCCACTGAAACATTTTCAAAGAGATTTTATATGAATAACTAAAAAGTAAATAAATTGAAATTTGAGTATTTTTGTAAAGATAAATATTGCAGTCAACTCTGATTTACCAAATGATCGATAGATAATGATGTTTCAGGATCTCGTTAAATCGTAAAGCCGAGGGAATACTAATAATTATCACTAAATTAAGCGGAGTTTCAATATGATGATCTGGGAAAAGGGATTATTAATTCGCGATTCTGTTAAATCGGGTAATCGGGTAAATCAAGCGTCGTCGATTATATATCATTTATTATGTCTTGTGCACATTTCAGCAGATGCACACAACTAAAAATCTGTCTGTGCGGATTGCATCATTCTATGTACAGTTCATACATCACGGTAATCAATCACCGAATAATCATTTAATTCAATAAATCAGCGCAAACAATATTAACAAAAGAAACGGTTTATGAAATTGTATTCCGTCGGCGCTATCCAATATTTCCTGAATTGCTGTTCGTCATGCTAAGACAAATCTGAATATAGCGATACTAGGTTATTATTACGAAGAGTATCTTTCATTCTCAAGGATACAATATGTTTGTTAATTATTTTGGTTTGTTCGTTAACTCTTGAAGAAAATCCAACAATGAAATTATTTCTTTCAATCATCGTTATATGCATAAAGTAGGAAACTAACATACTTAAAAATACAACAACATGATAACACAGTAATAAAAAACCATCAATAGTACCAAATATTGGTTGACGTCTGAATTCACCACAATCACGGCTATTTGAGCAAAAACTGTTGCTGCAATGATTGTTTAAATTTATCCATCCGAAATAAGCAAAGCAAAATAGCATTGTTTCTTTCACAATTTACTTATGAAAGATAGCCTATCATTAGAACCCTATCCGCGGCAAAAAAGTGTCGGGTTATATGATTTTTAAAGAATAACATTTCAATTAAAGTTAGGATTAGAATTAGGATTATATCCCACATAAGTTTTGTAGAAAATTTCGCAAGAAACATTTTTTTAGAAATAGAAAAACAGTTTCATAGGTAAAATTTCGGAACGCAAGCATTTTTCACGTTTGTTGTTACACATTGAACTTGCGATTTGATTTAATTGGTTACTAAAAAAAGCATATCGATATGACCGACATTTTTGTCTATCATCAATTTCTATTGGATCTCAAAGAAGGGATAGTGTTAACACCACCTTACGGGAGATTAGACTAAAGGATTTCACAAAGATAGGAAGGTTTCTCTCTATTTTATTCTAGAGGCTCTATGTCAGCAACTACGATACTGTCTCATATCAAAGATAAGTGTATATTAGAATTGCGATGAAATTAATTGGAGTACAGGATAATGTGTTATACATGTGAGAAATCACTAGTAAGATTAACGGAAGGTTGAGTTTAAAGGTCTTATGTACTAAGACTGCAAAGAAGTCTAAAAAAGAATTGCGAAGAATTATATCAACCAGGGTTTCTACAAATGATGCTATGGTTGGATCTGAGAGAAATAAACTTTAAAGCTTTATAAATTTGGAGAGGACGTGCATTTGTATAGTGTGCTTAGTGAGATTTTGATTCATTTTACTGAATCTGTTTAAATTTTCAATTGAAATATTCCAGTTGGTGAGATTGTCTACTGCATGTGCATCTGTTATTACTCTATCAACCTCCTTAATATTTCGTAATGAAAACTCCCAATCAAAACACCCAGCACACAACACGCGTTCGCCAACCAATTTACTTGCTCATTGTAAAGCAATTGACCCCATGCATTACACATAATCATCACCTCAACCGAGGAAATAGGAAACAACATGGCGTGTTCCAATGGTGTAGCAATTTCCGTGGCCATTATCATGAAGAAGCTTCCCAGACTATTAGATATCCCACCAAACGCGCCATATAAAAATTCATAGATATTCGGGTGATCATTCTGTGTATAGATGAATATCCATAGATTGATTAATGCAGCAGTGCCGAACATGATTGGCATGAACCATTGTGATTTCGCGGATTCAGCATCGAATGGCAAATACAATTGATCACTGTAGAATGGGAATTGAATGAACAGTGCACGCCACTGCATCATCACCAACACAGAAACTTGTAATATAAATGCAAGTGTGGCAAAGATTAGCCAGTTTACGGCATTATAATCATCTTTGACGGGATTGATCCCAATCTTTGCTTCCCAGAAAAGACCCAACATCAATAACACTGACCCGATTCCATTATAGATCGTATAATTAAAACCAAACGGACGTCCGAATAGTGAAACCATTATAATTATTGGCATGACTGCTGCGGAACTCACTACGGCAAATGTAAGCCCAGCTGGTCCATATTCCAATGCTTTTCCTAGGCTTGCTTGCATTAAAGCGAAAATGGTCCCCGTTATTATTGCGAATACTGCCATTTGATGACTGAATGAATAATCTCCTGTTCTAACTGGGTTCAATAGTATCGCCACTGGAAATACTAGCATTAGCTGTATCACAAGGAATGCTTTGTTTGATTCACCTTCGTCGATACTTCGCCGCATACAGTAATTTGAAATAGTTGTAAATAACGCACCAATAGTAATCATCTGAATTGCTTTACCCATATAAATCGCTTAATGATATAATTTTATTAAAGATTGAATTAGTATTTGTAATTTAATTTGATTTATACTTTACCACTTCCTTCACGTGTATTTAATTTTTCATACAGTGACCAAATGTTTTGTATCAAACACTCTTCTCTCACCTTCACATGACCCCATACTATATTTATGTGGTCTTGTGAGCTACTTAAATTGCTAATGTCACGTTTCAAACAATTTGCTGTTTGTTGTGTTACATTTCGACATTACTTTTAATAAAAAAAGAAATTAATAAATAGCGATCTTAGAAAGA